CTTCCTGATAACGTAGTGCAAGCTGAATCCTTGGGTTCCTTTAAATCAGAGCTAGATAAGATTTTAACAACTCTGAGCTATTAGTTAAGTTCTCCGAATGGCCTCCTCTCGTTTGTATAGTTCTTATGTTCTTACCCTTTTGTGTTAAATATTTCTTTGAATGTGTTTACACTTTATTGTATTTTTTTTAATTGTACTTTGTTTCACTAATTATTTTTTTATTTCATTTTTTTCCCCCAAAGCCGGTTCTCTAATTTTGTGCACTTTATTTAAGAAAAAGACATTTTGTGTTACTTGTGTTTTATAATAAAGCATTTATTTACTTATAAACTTTGCCAAAATTCTGTCCTGGTGTCACGCCCTGCTCGTCCGATCCTCCTGTGTGCCACGCCTCCCTCGTTAACCTCCTGTGAAATCCCGATGTCACCAGCTGTTTCCTGTTATTTCTAATTGATCCTGTGTATGGACAAGTGGCTGTTCTGCTGAGGTCAGGCTCAAACCAGCGACTGTCTGGTTGCAGGCACAGAGACTTAGTCCGCCAAACCGCACAGTGTGTATGAGTCTGTGTCAGTGGGTGTGCCTCTCAGGGGTGCATATGTTAGCGTTTCACCAAGCCAAAGTCGTGTGTTTTTCCAGGTGACTGTGAGTGTACCTGTGTACCTCACCCCTCCGCCCCCCATGTGAATGCATTTGCATGTTCCTACCTCTCCAGGTGATTGCCCACCACAACCTCTTTCAGTTCCACAATGTTGGGGTGCCTCAAACGAATCAGCAACGTAATCTCTCGCAAGCTGCTGATGGGGATCCCTGTCAATGTCATAAAGATTTTTACATCAAGATGTCTTTAGAGATCACCAGCACCCCAAGCCAGACAGAGCACCCTGCGAGGGAATCTGCTCACTCACCATCCTTTTCTTTGTCCATTCGCACCTTTTTCAGAGCCACAATCTCATCACTCTTGGTATCTCTGGCTCGATCTGCATTCCAATTACAGCCGCGGGTTTATAAACCAAGTAGATCCCTTTCCCTTGATGAGCAGCACTTGGAGGCGTCTTTACTCACACACGATGCCGTAGGTTCCCTCTCCGATTCGATTCAGCTTCTCAAACTCCTTCACACTTCTGCAGCTTCCCAGCTGGAAGAAGAACAGTCTGCTTCCAGCCACCACACGAACATGAATTACATGAATACTTAGTGCTTCAATACAGAAATACCCGTCAGTGGATAGGACTTCTCTGCTGGTCATGCAGTGAAGAAAGCTACTGCTAAATGACTCCACCAGAGTGTGCAACAGAGCAATTATCGCTACTAGTTATTTTCCTCATGCAGAGAGGTAATACGTTTTACTTTATGTCGTAGTGTATTTATTGTTTAATATAAAATGCAGTAAAACAGGTGGATACTGCTTACATAAATTTACTTTTTGCAGTGGCTGTTTACATTTTTTCGCTCGCCGTCTCTTCAACATAGCAGTCGCTTTGACCGGATGTCTGGGTAAACATAATCCCCCGTTTCCCGGCTAATTTGGTCGTAAAGGCTCTAGTTTGTCTGAAGCAGCGCTTACCCGGTCTTGCTGCGGCACCGTGAATGTGCCGCGGTGCTTCAGCGACCTCAGCTTGATGGGGTCCGGATCCATGTCCACCGTCGTCTCCATCACCCCCTCAGCAGCATTTCCACAATTCCCCCTTCCCCATTGGCTGGGAGGTTAAACTTCCGGAGTGAAAACAGTGGCACGCGCTTCCGACCTGGCCAACTCGAATCCTACCCGGAGTTTTCTCGACGTTAAACTGCGCGTGCTTGCGGTGTATAGTAATCACTAATACAGTGGTACCTCAGAACTCGAACTTAATCCGTTCAGAACTCCGGATCGAATCGTAAAATGTTCGAGTTCTGATCAAATTTTCCCCATAAGAAATAATGCAAGACCAATTAATTGGTTCCCGGCCCCAAAAAATTACACCTAAATATGTTTTTGTTAGTATTTAAACACAAAATGAATCAGATAAAACAAGAAGAGCATATACTGTACTAAACACATCTAAGCACATTTATCAAAACAGTCATTTGTAAAGTAAGAAAATAATGTGTAAAGTTAAAAAAAAACAATGTGTCCTGCCTCAATCCCACGCCCCCTCGTTAACCCCATATGGAATCCCCGTATGATCAGCTGTTTCTGGTTGTTGTCATTAGTCCTCTGCATTTAGTCTGCGTTTCAGTTTGTTTCCCCAGTCCGGTTATTGTATTGTCCGTCTGCGGTTTGCCTGCCTTACCTGTAATTAAACCGCGTATTCCCCGATACCCTGACGTCTGCGCCTTTGTCTCCGTTCCGTCCCAGCTCGGCACGACAATATTATTATAATTAAACGTATTAATGGTTTATAATTAATATTAAAATAATGAATAAGAAATATTTATTTTTAATTGTATTTTACTATATAATAATAATTACTGTTACTGTCTATCATTGTCTAAATGTATTTTTACTGTCTAAATATATGTATTCAGTTAGTGTAAACATGCAGGATGCCATCACAGCCAATGCGAGGCTGAGACTGACCCTTTGTTTCTGCTGAGAGACGTGCCTCGTGACTCATTTCCCCGCGCGTACAAGTTACCTTAGGTCGGCGTTCACGGTTTGACTTCTGAGATTCAAATTGAGTCGTAGGTAATTTTTTTTCGAACTGGTTGACTTTTAAGAAATTCGAGTTCTAATGAGTTCGAGAACTGAGGTACCACTGTACTTTAAAATTACTACCCAAATAATACAATGGTTGGATAAGTATGTTCCACGTCTCTAACAGGATAAGGGATAGGAAGGTGGACATTATTACTGCCTATGTTTCACTGCTGCCTGAACAGTGCTGCTACTGTGTATGACACTAGAGGGCACCAACACTATGGTTATTACCTTAAATTAGATTTACTCAGTAGACCCTTTTGTCCAAGGCAACATGAGAAAGCAGGGTCAACCAGTCCCTGAAGAATTTTGGGTTAAGGGCCTTCCACATGGGCCCAATGGTGAAATTACTCTCCCAAGCTCAGGATCCGATCCAGAACCAGCAATCTTTTGGTGATGGGCACAGGGTCCTCACCCACTGAACCGCACACCATCCATATAAAGAATTGATTGGCCCTGTTTCATGCTCGAACCCAGGACCCTTGACACATTAGCATGAGCCTCCCATCTCTTCAGGTGAATGCATAAAAAATATTGACTACATCAAGTGGTTCTCAATCCCGTTCTTAACCCTAACCCCCTGCCACAATGTTTTCATTCCAACCCAACCTTATCGGGCTCAGAAGGTCCTTAATAGGCTAATAGAAAATGTGACAGGTTGAAAGCAGTGTGGGTTGGAATGAAAACATTCTGGCAGGGGGTCCTCCAGGAAGAGGATGGAGAACCACTAGACTAGACAAAGCAGTGGGTTGTTTCCAAAGCTAGTGCTCAAACAGCTCAGAAGGTCCAAATAACAGCAAACCGCAACATTAAGGTCAAACTGAATAGGTTTTGAATGACTGCTGTGGCTTTTGATCAGTAATTACTTGTACAATCACTGTACAAAAGGTGGTGTCACTGTGCTATAGCTTTGTATATGAAGCTGTCTTCTGGAGTGTCAGATGCCAGGCAGGAATTAACAACTCCAGACATCAGACTTGATGGGGCATCTCTCTCCTGAGACACAAGATTAGCGCAGTCTTGTGCGGTGTGTGCCAGGTGATGCAGCTTCGAGGCATCCTGCAATGTTTCACAACTGCTCAAGTTGTAGCACATATCTGTGTCTCATGCTGGCTCCTGTAGCTGTACCAGTGACCCACTCTGTGCTTGTTGCTTTTGTCTGTATGTTCTGCCTTACGAGGGAGATAAGGTGTGTCTCTGCAGAACCAAAAAGCAACATCGGAATTCTATGTCAGCTCATACTGATGCTGTGCCCAGTCTCTTCCTCATGGAGATGGCTGTAGTTGATGGTTCCATGTCTGCATTCAGTTGCAGTACCATTCTGAAGTGCCTCAGGTTGACTCCTCTCACCACTCAATTTCCTACATGTATTTTTGCACAGCTTGTTAGCACAGCTTAACTGTTGCTGAACGCTTAATAGAGCATTACTAGCCCAGTCCTAGATAGTCTCTGGGTCCTGATAACACAGAGTTCCCGTGTTTGGGGCCTGATAGCCAGAGGTATAGGGACAGGACAGGCAAGGTAGGGAAATGCCAGAGGCCCAAGAGGACGACCGATCACATAGTACATTGCAATAACAAATCTGTGTATCTGTGTATTTTGTTTTTCACAGTAAAGGAATTGTGATTGTTAAATTATATTTGTTGATGTTATTCATTTAGACTACATGCTAAAATAATAGTAAATTTTACCATGTTGGGTGGGGTGTGTTGGAAGGCCCCATGGAGTTTTTTTGCCTAGAGCCCCCCAGTGTCCCTAGAATCGCCTCTGCTGATAGCACAGTCCTTCTATCTCTGACTCAGTTAGCACAGAGTTACAATCTCTGGGCCCTGACAAGACAGTGTTTCTGTCTCTGCCCCAGTTAATACTCCTAAAGATCAACTCTAAAGGTCACAGACGTACAGCAGTGTAGGACACTTCTATTGATTGCGATTAGCAGAGACTCAATTCGTTCTGGTTTGTGCTGCTGGTTCAGTAAGAGTAACTCTATGTTAACTGAGCCCAGATACTGTAAATCTGTGTTAAAGTGCAGTACTGTGTGAAAGTGTTAGGCAGTCAAAGACAATTATGTTCAAATGACCTTCAAGTTTGTGTAAAACAATGATATTATGTCTATTTTAGTATGTTAGCTTAACAATTTCAAATCTCTCCTATAATCACCACAATATTTGCACCAACTATCCAATATATCCATCTATTTTTTGGCTTGATAACAGGCACATCTCCTATGGCCAATCAATATGTCACTGACTCTTAAAAACCTATTTAGTTCATTAATTAAGTAAACTGGTGGTGAAACTTAATATATCCATGGAATGGCTTGGGTGCCCCTGAGGAGAGGTTTGGGAACTGAAGTGGTGATCTAGCCATCCAGCAAGATACCAGTAACTTTTTGGAAAACAGAACAAATCCTTGTTAATTTCTATTGTTACTTTTAATTTGCATATATTCTAATGTCAAAATATGTTTTTATTCTGAGCAAATACACACTTACGATTGAGATTAATCGCATTCAACAGTTCCTTTGACTGCCTAAGACTTTTGCCCAGTACTGTACACTGTCATGTTCATGAATTCAAAGCTGTAGGAAATGCTTGAGCTCAGTGAGCTTGTGTTTGAATGTGTGCCTGTGCATGCTAGGAATGGCCGTATGGTGCCTCCTGCTTCTTCTTTGGGCTCTTTTTAGCTATAAACTCTTTTTTTAAAATGGGTATAGGGTGTGCGTGTGCAAGTGCGTGCAGGAGAGAGATGATGTGACAAAAGCTTGAAACAATAAACATTCCTGAACAGATTACGCACGCGTGCGCGAACATACACACACACACACACACACACACACACACACTCCCATACTGGCCCTGAGTCACCCCTGAACTCTGAATAGTCTACAACCATCTTTTTTTAGCCCCCACTGGGGGTCTGAGGTGCATGTGTATCTTAGGTGGGAGTTTTGGCCTCCTAGTTGAAATGTGAGACTGTTGGTGTGACTGTGTGCTTTGATTTGGGGGGCGGAGTGGTGGGTTAGGGTTACCAGGTACAAATTCTGATACTTCTATTCCTTCTCACGCAAAGTATTTGGTTTGCTGATTGCGTGTTAAGTTTGTGATGTGTGTTTAACAAATTGGGGACTCATGCCGATTCCTTTCTTACAAGTCTAAGCGTGAACTTATGTGCCCTGTCAAGTTGGATGTTTTATTTAAAGTAATTTCTTTATTTTTATATGAAACAAAAATCACAACCTTTGTGCCAACACTACAGAGTTTGAAGCATGCATGAAAAGCTCACTCAGGAGCTGTTGTGTGTCCACAACTCAACAAGTACAGACAGCCATAAACATCCCACATAATACACCAATTTCACACCTTCAAAATGCTCTTGGTGGAACGGCACAGGCTAGCCAGTACCTGGCATATAAAGCTGGATTATCTGACTGCTATCTGCCGTCTTCAGAGGTGGATCTTGAGACTGTACCCATATCATTAGGGATTGTGTTGTACTGTCATTTGCTGACAACATGTTCTAACAGTTGCTTAGGATGAAAGGGATTAAAGGCAGGCAGCAGAACTATGAAGAAGGAGAAGTAAGGCATCCCAAGAGCACAAGGAGTTCAGGAACGGGGGGTGAACTGATGGCCAAACTCGTGGCAGGCAGACAGGGGACTGTTATAGGCAATGGCAAGAATCGTGAGCTGAATCAGGGCTGCAAAAGCACTACAAGTATATAAATACAGGAGTGGTGTTTGTGTTTAGCATGGGATGGATAACAGAGAGTGAGCAATAGAGTTTTCAGTGAGTTGGATGGATATAAGGAGGCCAGACAGTAAAGCACTGTAGAAGTACAGCCTGAAGAGCAAAGGACGATGTTCACAGACTGGTGCAGATGGAAGGGAGGATGGACCCTGTGACCTAGTGGTCAGGGAAAGTGTGCTTGGGATTGAAAGGTTGCTAGTTCCAATCCCCAACCAGCAAGGTACTGATCCCTGGGTGCTAAATAATAGCTGCCCGCTACTGTGTCACCTGGGGTTTAAATGCAGAGGACACATTTCATTGCCGTGGTGTTTCAACAATCACTTTCACCTTTAATTATCTGTGCCCTTTTCCCTTGATAGGCTTAGGTTAGGTTAGGTTAGGTTAGGTTAGGTTAGGTTAGGGCAGGGATAGGCAACCCTGATCCTGGAGTGCCGGTATCTGATGAACTACATCTGACCTCAGGCAGATAGTAACTCATGAGGTAGGATGGAAAACCCTCTGGGTATCGGCACTCTGGGATCTGGGGTGGGGTTATGGAAGCTCCAGCTCTGCTCCAGTCACTTGATTTCTAATAATGATGCTTGTGAGATAAGAGGCTCTATACCTGTATTAATGGAAACTGTCCCTGTGCAAACTCACTGAGCTGAGCTGATGTCTCATTCTGTGTCAGCAAACCACTACTACCTTTCTGCCTCTTGCCTTGACCCAGAAAATCTATTCTGGTTGCTGTCCTCTGTGAAGCAAGCTGCCCCAGCTGGTATTTTAGTGCGGAGGCAGAGGAGGAGATTGAGAGGGTTTAGTACTTGTCATCCACCTCCAGTCACAACCAGTTGGTGCAGAACCCGCATGGCTTACTGACTCTGGAACGCTCAGCCTCTCACCTGAGCAGATGGTGGAGTAGCTGTGGTAACAACTGGATTTGAGGTGGGCCGAATGGTGGCCAGACAGGAATATGATCAGTCATGAATGTAGCTACATCTCAGAACAGGGCCAGACTTGATGGTTTGATGGTAATGAGCTTTGCTGATGTCACTTCCTGTAGGTGGTTGACGTTCATAATGTCACTTCCTCTTGGTGGTTCCATTCTCCTTTGGCTGAGCTGTGACCATACACACATGGCCTGTGAAGTGACAACTGGCCAAAGAGTTCAGCACCAGCAAACTTGCCTCACTGCTGTATTCCTTTTTGTTTTTAACCTAATAAACTAGCCTGAAATCTCTTCTGGCAGCTTCCTTAGGTGATTGTGCCAGTCTTGGTCCAGAGGGTATATGAAGCCAACAATGACACCTCTAAGTGATGAATGGCAGGATGGTCTTGCACACTGCTTCATGGGTGTCACCGCACGGCATGACTTCATCTGTGACTAACTAAGCTATTGTTCTCCAGGCTCCACCCAAAAGTTTTATTGGCTTCAGCCTGGAACTTCTATACCACACATTACCGATTAAGCAACACACGTTCACGTTGCTAGGTAAATCTAGGCACATCCTTTCCTGTTCCTACAGAATCTGTTATTTTATTAGGGGCTATAAGGTTGTATTTTTTTGGCTTAATCTTACTGTTTAGACTTAACTAGCTAGACCTGTACATTATGAAACATTAGATGGAACAACACAGAATAGTTTAGTAGCTTGGAATTGCTGGTCAATAGCTAAGAGTCACTGGCTACATAGCGATGGGGGAGGACGAGTCATTCCTGTTGTTATTGGAGTGTTGTAAACCTGAATCCCCTCATTGTGTTTGTCTGCCCATACATATCCCTTATCTGTATGCTGTAAATGTCTTAATCTGGAGTGTGCTGCTTGTTTTCTGTTACATCCTTTAATTTGTGTGTCCAGAGTGGGGAGATCCTTTTGAACTGCAGCAGAAGCATGATAATGTGGCCTAAGTATATGGTTATAAAAAGGTACATTTAACCCCGGCTATATGAGCTGAAGGCTCCACCTCACAGTTTGTTCAAACTTCTCGTGGCAGAATAAGACTCCTTTTCAAAATCTCCCAGGCTGTGGAGCATACTATGCACATGTCTATCTGTCTCAGACTGTGCACCTTTTTCGCTGCACTTCCTCCCTTCACATTGACTCTTAACCCCTTCAGGTCCCTTGTATGCACCAGTCCTTAAAGTCATTCACATCCGTCATAAACATGGCTTTCTGTGGGTCAGTTGTATAACTTCGATGTTCAGATCAGCTAACAGTCCCACAAGCCTAGTGTTTCGCAACTCTGGTACTGACAGACGTCTCTAGACCACTAACAACCTCACTACTGTAGGTACAGTGTAAATTTCAGTATACTGCTTAAACCTAGGAAGCATAATCAAAGGGGACTTTATAAAGAAATTATATGTCATATATGTCTTCTCATGGGCTTTGGCGAGTAGGGTGACTACTTGTTTTCTTTTGGGAGCAGGACAAATAAATTAATGAACATGCAGAGTAGACATGTGTTTGGTATATCTTTATTCTAGATTAGTTCATTTAAAGTCAATGATCACTTCAGTCCGATGTACAAGGCCTTAGGGAGACTGAGAACTTGCACATGCCATGGGCACAGCAGGATAAAGCCAATTTGTTGAAGTTATTCTGGTGCTGTTCTTCAGGAACATGGTGATAAGCATTTCTGTCCCTCTATCTTGTGCTTGATCTAAATTCTCTCTTCTGAGGCGATGGTCTTGAGGTCATCGGGACAGTTGATAGTATGAACGCTGTGGGAGGGGTTCCCCTTCTCAACCAGCAGAGCCACTGCCTGACCCAATTCCAGGTGGCACAAGTATCCTGGTGCCTTGCGTTCAGTGGAGGTGACACCTGTGTTGATCCTCACCTGTACAGATGGGATCAGAACAAACTGGGCTAAACTTCTAAAGTGACAAAATGTAAATAATAGTATTTCCTTCTACTATAAACCTTGTAATCCAACAACAGCAAATATCACTATTATTATTGTTGTTGTCATTTACATTTTAATCTAACCAAGGTTTCACTCATTCATTCAGACTAAAGCCTTGTGTCATTTTAGATTTGCATTCAGAATTAAGTGAAAGTGCCATAAAAGGAATGTATGTGACAACCAGTCAAGCTGAAGTAGAAACTCTGAGCACAAATGATGATCTGTGTGTGACACCGGGGTAATGCTGAGAGTGACTAGCAAGCTTGAGGTATTAATGAAGGATAATTACAAATTCAATGTGGGTTTTGGTTGGCTGGTCTCCACACAGCCCCCATTGATTGTGTTAATAACACCCCCTGCACTGTTTCTGTGGAAACCCTATTATGTATCACCTGGTTGAATTTGCATGGTGTATCTGGGTACTCCTCCTGCAGAACCTGGCAGAACGCCAAGGCACTGGCAGCTCCCACTGTCAGAAAGCCTGTTCCCGGCATCAGGAGCCTGTCTGCAGCACCCCCTACAGGAACACATGGTTCACTACATGTGGGAGACACTGGACAACTGACAAGATGCAACAAATCTCACTGCACAATAAGCCCGCAAGCACACAGAAGTGTAAGCACTTACCAGTGATGAAGGTGTAAGTTCCCTTGGGATTGTCCCTCACCAGAGGAAAGAAAGCCTTCCATGACACAAAGGTGCTGAAGAGCAGAGCATCCAATACCTGTGGGCAGCGTGGTGGTGGCCGGGGAGATTAATGCAGGGAGGGTTAAAGTCAGTGTGCGCAATACAGGGGGGTCTGGGGGGGTCCAACACCCCTGATTAACCCATGAAAGCCTCAAAAGCAAAATTTTAAGGGGGTCTCAAGATCGGTATTGCACAACAGTAGGGAGATGGGGACCCCCCCCCGAATATTGACGCTTATTTCACACACTGGTTAAAGTGTAGCTTTTTCACATGGAGAGAAAGAGTCATGATTCGCTGCACATAATCAGCAGAAGGTTGTGATTGGCTGAGCACAAAGTCAGTAAACAGCTTAATGACAGAGAGATGGTGCAGATATTAACTGAACAGCGGGCTCACCCAACGCAGTTCCTTGAGGTTTTGAGTGTGGGGGGCTCCACCCTGCCACCAGCTAAAGCCCAGAGAGGACACCACATCAGTCACCGTCACCATCCGTGTCAGCAGAGCCTGCTTCACTTGCTCCGCCCCCTCCTCTGATCCTGGACAGGGAAGGACAGTGGCATTTCTGCGATGCCATTGTTATTCTGGGTGATAACTGAGTGAAAGAGGAGGTAGTGAGGGAGTAAAATGACCTGAAGGGAGGATGAAATGAATAAGTGAGGAATTGGTCGATTATGGCAGGGATTATGGGAGCAGGGAGGGAATTTTGAATGATTGACTGAGAGTATGTGAGGGATTACTGGGGAATTAATGAACGGTTGGGGAATCATGGCTGTCAATCATATCGATTCAGTGAGACATTATGGAATGAGGTAATGTGTGGAAGCAAATAACCAAATGTCTCACCTATGTCCCCCTCAACCGTAAGGAGGTTCTCTCTCCTGGAAGGGGAAATGAGCACTTTTAGCTTCTCCAGCTTACTGCCATCTCTGGAGACAGCTACCACTTTGAATCCTGTACAGAAATAGTCAGACTAATTCATAACCAAATCATTTAAACACACGAAGGATGCCTCTGCCACTGTTTGTAAACATACACACGTATTCATTTTAAGCAATTTTTAAAATGCTAATGTACTTGCTTTTTATTTCATCAACCAAACCTGGTTGTCTTGATTCGTGTTGTAATCCAGCCACTTATATAAAAATGAAAACGGCTCTTTAAAACAAATCCTCAGTCTGTTTCGCGCAGTTCACAATAAAGATCACGCCGGATTGCATGCTAGAATAGCTTACGTATTTATAGCTTAGTCGGTTATTAAGACATTAACACCACAAAGATATCAAGATATCAAATTAATTTGTAGAGGTGAGTTACGGGCCCCACCAATGTGAAATCATCAGACTCCTCAAATATCTGAAAATGGATTTTCTGGAACCGCAATGTCACCCGATGTCACGCTAACATTAGTTTAATATTTAAAAATTAACTATTAGGCTAATACATATTGTGGTTAGAGATTTTGCTGAATCACTGAACGGTGTCAGTGATTCAGGCTGGCCCACGTGAGAAGCCACACCCGAGTCCATGTGCTTTTCAGCACTTCCTGCATCGGGACAGCGCTCACGGCGACGCGCTGAAATTGACCCAAAAGTGAGTTTGGGATAACCCGTGTAAAACTCCAGCCAGCGCCGCTAATTCCTCCGGATGAGTCATTAGTGATTCAGCATAAGATACACTGGTTCCTTTGTTAAAACCACGTTACTTGTAATTCCAAGCTCTATACGTTTTAAAACATTTACTAAATGTTAAAAAAAAATTATAAAACACTTCTTTTGAAACTACGCGTAAGCTCAAAACTGAATTATTAAATTGGTGCTCTGAGTATATGATCTGTTAACAACAGACATACGGACACTTACTGACTGATATTTCGTCACTCTTCCAGGAAATTAAACCTGTAGGTTATTGAGGGTTTTGCAGGAATTATGCGACTATGTTAGCTGGAGAGTTGATATAATGTGAAACTGACAGCATGAGGTCTCAGCAAAGGTTCTGGGGAGGATGGAGAAAGGAGCAGCCTGATGCTTCTCATTGTGTCTTAGGTGGGTTGCGAAACCAAACAGACTAATTAACATGTTGTAGAGCAGGCATGGGCAATCTTATGCACAAAGGGCCAGTGTATGTGCAGGTTTTAGGGGTAACATTTAGGCAGAGTTGGGTAATTACGGTCCAGAGAGTAAAAGTCCAGACCGGGATTTTGTTTCAACCAACCAATAGAGTACTCTGTAACTGTGCCTCTATGCTCAACTGGTTGGTTGAAATAAAATCTTGGTCTGGACTTTTACTCTCTGGATCTGAATTACCCAACTCTGCCTTTAGGTCAGCTGTTCAAACCCAGGTGAGAGAACTCTTCAGCCAATTGGTCCTCTAATTAATAATCTAATTAGGGAGTTGTAGTGAAGACCCACATACACAGCCACCCGTTCTGGATAAGATTGGCCACCCCTAGTGTAGAGTAACGTAATAATCTATTGTTTCATGTTACGCTTATGAACGGATGAGATGCCTGCACATAACTTTGAATTTAATTTGCAATATTAAAAAACGTTCATACACTATTTATGTCAACTTTCTCGATAGGAAATAAGTTAAATATGTCATCTTTACCTAAATATAACACTACACAGGTGAAAAGAATATTCTAAAAACATTTATCATTACAGTATGATGAAGAGGAGTCTGACTTTTTCCGGCAGGCGCAAGGTTAGCTTACACATCACATGCACAATCAGTTATTTGCACGTAGACATAGCACCTTATTTTGGTGCCTGTTAACCAAACTGTGCATCCAGCTGCCATAATTTATCGACATGACTGCATTTCTACATGAAGGATCAATGCTCCATCGTTCCGCCCACCCCAGAGGGGCCGATCCTGCCAGGTGCCAGGACTTCATATTTATATACAAGTGCATTTCATTCCTGGTGTCACCGGCCCCGATATCATGCAGCTGCCATGCTGCCACGGGCAAAGGGTTGGGCGCAGGTGAAACAAAACCTTTGGTTAAAGGTTCAATGTGTTGGCACCAGACCCAGCTCCAGCTCTCCGTAACAGGGTGGGCCAGGCAGGGGCCAGTTACACAAAGTTATGCAAATATATATTCAGAAGAAGCAAGATGTTTTGGATGTTTTTGTCCTTCTTCAGAAGCAGAGTACTTATGAGGCTGTGTGTGTGTGTGTGTGTGTGTGGTGGTGGTGGTGGTGGGGGGGTTGCACAGATCACATTTGGGAAGTCTGGTAAAACCTGGAACTTCCTTACTTTCACAATCAAAAAAGTAAACATGCCAAAACTCTTCTACAGTATTCTGTTTGGTTACTTATGGTTAAGTTTAGGTCTGTGTAGGGGTTAAGGGTGTCCTGATGGGGATTAGGGTTTTTCCCATAGAAGTCAATGGAAGGTCCCCATGTAGATAGCTAATATGTATATTATTATATATACATATTATACATATTCCAAAGTTCGAATACTTAAGTTTACTGACATCTTTGTTACCTGTCTAGACTTTTTCTTTGTTAATATATAAATTTAAATTAGTACTCAAGATTTTTGTGGAAACATTATACATTCACTTTCTCCCACTCTTTTTTAACCCGTATTTCTCCCACTGGCATAGTTAGCAACTAGCTAAAGAAACTCCGTCAGTCACGCGATTTTGAGTTCATTTGATATGTGTGGGGAAGGAGAGGGAAGAAGGGAACGGGGATCCTGAAACTGGACAAACTCGGCCGATAGGGAGCAAGTTCAAATGGACAACTACGCTTTAGAGACAAGCCCCAAACACTTCAACCCGCGACTATCGATATTTGTAAACGAATTAACGGAAAACGACCCCAAAGTCGCTTAGGATAAGCAGTCTTGGTCATATAAAAAGGTCAAATTTCACAGGTCTGATTGGGTGTTCGCATGGACAGTTCAATATAACCTTCTGCGCATAGGAACGAAACATTTTCACAAAGAAAGAATGAAAGAAAGAATAATAACAATAAAGCAAATCGCAACGCAAGAATACATATAGGCGCATATATATATATATATGTGTGTGTGTGTGTGTGTGTGTGTGCGTGTGAGGCAGCATTGTTAGTCGGTGCCCTCCGGTCCTTTTTGGCGCTCTGGTCTATTTCATCAGCTCATTGAATTTTATATGAAACGGTGACAAATAGCAGGCCTTATATGATCAAATATAATACTACGGAGGAATAACGGTTTACAGTTATCAAGACTGCATGGTTCAGCTGTGTAATGATATATTAACTTCCAGCTGAGTCCACCTTACCTTTATCCAACAATCCTTTGGCAATTCCCGAGCCCACCGTGCCCGCTCCGCCGAGCACCAAAGCAACCCTGTCCGAGTTAGACATCCTGATTTCAAACTGGAGGGACAAGCAGTGCGCTGAGTTGCATGAGTTGCAAGTTGGAAAAGAGCTGCAAGGGCTGAGTCTTAAGTCTTGTATAGTTACGCCTTGCAGTCACACCCACCCACATCTGACCAACGCAAGGCAGTCAAACAATGATTTTCAAAAGACGTATTTCTCATCAATAATTTGGCATTTCGAAATAGGTGAATATTGTTTTATTCATTTTATTGTCCGCATCGACGAGCAAGTTTCCTGAAAAGCACTCTCTACTTTTTTTAGTTAATCAAGCTTATAACAACAGAATTCAAAATAAACAAAGCGTTTCTGAAAGACCAAAATACTATATTTTGTATTATAAACATTTCCGGGGCTCTTGCTGTGCTTTGTCAACCAACGATCATTGATTTTAAGAATGTCAATGTCATTTTAATCATTAGCCCTATTTTATATGTCATTAAGAGTGGTTAACTATATTACTCTTAATAAGCCAATTATGTCGCATAGCTTCTCAAAATAACTATTTGTCGGAAGATGTTGTCTGTACATTTAAGAACGCTTTACCGCGCAGAGTCGATGTGGGGCGCTGCAGTTCGACTTTTATTCTGCCACCTAGTTGTTATTGCCCCGGCAGTCAAAGATTCATGTAGGGAAACTATCATATTTACATCATAAAACCGGCCACATCAGCAGCTTATATGCAAAATTCCAGATAAGCGATAAAGTCAAGAATGGCGGAGAGGTAAGATTCTTCCCGGAAGAAGTTGCGATTGGATTGTGTACGATTCGAATAATTAAGAAATCTTAATGTGAAGTCGAAGGAAGTAAGACGACAACGGGGAATCCCTGAGTTTGCTCGCTTCATGTGCTCGGTGTTAAATGTTATTCAGTCCTGTGTTATGTAAGTATACCCGTGAGATCGGTAAGGCCAAAAACTGAAAGTAGGCTACAATGACAGAAACACGCATTTCATTTTACACAAAACGAGCTCGGGATTACAGTTTACAAGTGTTTAAGAAGTGAAGTGAGCGTATGTTTTTTTTGGAGTGTAATATACTTTTTTGACTCCCCCGTGTGTTCTTTTTGCCTGTTTTCGTTTTCACTTTGTCGTGTAACCGCCTGAGGCCAAGGCTGAGCTGTGCAAAGCTTCACCAGACTGAAGTCGTCTATGGAAGCTTCTTGAAACGGCACTGTTTTCGTTTATTAATTTATTTTATTTTATTTTAATTTAATTTCTGTCTACCTATATTATTTGCCGTTGCTTTCGATGTGATCTATGGAGTCACAGAAGTGCCATAAAAAAGAATACATCTGTAAAAGAATAATAAAATAAATGTTGAATAAGAAAGTGAAATAGGCTAAATATAAATCAAAATAAAATAATAAGGAAAATAAATTTTAAATAAAAGTACAAGAAAATTAATACTTTCTTATTCAAAATTTATTTTCTTATTCTTTTACAGATTTATTCTTTTTTTATGGTACTCCTGTGCCTCCGTAGTGATCGTATGTCTTTTAGACAGTGCATTTTTGGAAGAATCTCGATCTTTACCTTTTTCCCTCCATAAATTGAACTCTGTAGTGTTTTTCTGAGGTTACTCTTCGTATAGAAAGTGCCCCTGTCTGGCATCCTTACTTAAAGAGGGCTGGGTTTAGCGGCACTCTATCACAAAGCTGGATTTTGGGGTTAGTAAGATATTTTTTCAGATTTAAGGTAGTCTGGGCTAAATGTAGGTGAACGTAGATAAAGTCCATTTAAACTGGGGTACCTTAAATCCAACAAGGTATCTATCTAACCAACAAAGGATGTTTCCAGATACATTCCCTAGAACGAACTGAGGAAGGCTGACTTAGTAGGCTGATGGTGTAGATGTTTATTTTAAGGTGCGCCTAAGGTGTGCCTCTTGGCCCCTTTGTCTGTGTGACACTCCATGTCTCTCTTCCCCACAGCATACGAATGAACGCTTCAGATAAGACCAATGTCTGTGAGCAGTACCACAGCTTTTTTGAGAAGTGTGTGAAGAAGGGTGACAGTCTTCTGCTGTGCCAGGACCACATTCTGTGTGTGCAGAACCTGCTTTCAGAAGGTGATGTGCAGATCTTATTCAGCTCCATGGGCGTGGACCTCTTCACTGTCATGGAGGCCTCAATCCAGAGCGCTGGTTCTGGCCTTGAAGGGCTCGCTAAGGCTTTTGAAGTCCTGGAGCTTGCAGCCCTTAACCTATACCTGTGTCCATGGAGGAAGGAGTACAAAACAATAAAGGTGTGTGTCTCTCAGGGTGCTAGAGATGCACCAGGGTGATGTCTGCGTGTGTGCAGGCCATGTGTCATCCTGTTACTTCTTCTGTCTCTATCTTCATGCAGATGTTTTCTGGCACATACATCCACCAGGTGGCACCAGTGTTGTCTGAGCAACAGGCTGCTATGTTTTTCGGGTTGCTTGGATACCAGGAGGCAGAGGGGCAACGGCTTGAGCTGAGGGGGCAGCCCACTGCAGAACAACTTCGAAGGCTCGCATGCGCGTTCTTCTTGGTACGCTGTAAATGTCGCCTCCTGCTGGGGGCCGGGGGATCTCGAGGCGGAGGGTTGGTTTTTGAACAAGCCCTGGTGAAAGAGGGGCAGAAGGAGCGTGGCCTGCAGGAGGCAAGGAACAATGTGGTGAAGCAGTTGGAGGTGAGGAAGCAAGACTTACTGCTTGAAGGGGACCTGGACCTGTACACAGCAGAAACGTTCAATGGGGCGAGCCAGTCAGACAAGCTGCAAGCACAAGATCATGTCTGTGGAATGAGCCATCACAGCAGTGGCAGCATCTTGCCTGCAGGTGGCAGCAGCAACATTTCCGTGCAAGATGAATCTGTCAGTGCTACTACATCTGACCAGCTGAACGAGGTGAATGACCTGACCAGAACACTCTGTAGTCAACAGGAAGAAGCAGCAAGGTCTGTGAAGACTGAGATGTCTAGAGCAGGGATAGAACAGCATATTGCTTCTCAGGCCAGTGGGAGTGACTGGAGAGCTGCAGAGTCGTCTGCTGTCTCCAATGGTGGGAGAATGTGTCCGATGACATTGTACTGTGAGCAGTGCTGCATCGTGCACAGCCTGAACTGTCCTGAGATGGAACGCTGCGAAAGGCAGAGACATCAGACGCGCTACATACAGGAAAACACGACCCACCAGGAGAGAGCTGGTGGGGTGCAGGAGCCAAAGGAGCATGAGAAGCTGGCCGCATGTCCAAAGAGACACACCTGCCTGGAGGAAGGACTCTCACGTGCCAAGGACCTCATATGTGAGCAGGGCCAGCACTGCAGCAAGACCGAGCGCACAGTGATGTCCAAGTGGTCGCCTGAGCCCAGTGAACATGCCACCCCACTATCCCTAACCCCACAATCTCTCACCCCACACTCTCTCACCCCCCACTCCTGTGATCTTGGCAGATTCACCACAGGGGTTCTGCAGAATATCAGCTGCGGTGACTTGAAGCTTTGCACGCATCTCCAGCAAGACGTTGTGAAGAAGTGCATAGATACGAAAAACTGTATGTTACCTATCAGTGCCATGTGTAAATACTGCCATGTCGCCTATTGCAAGTTGTGCTGGTTCAGGTTCCCAATTACCTGTGAATGCGGTCAGCCCATATCCCCTGTCAAGTGAAATCCCACCTCATTCACAGTTAAAGATCCCACCATATACTTGTCCATACAGGCATGTTTTCACACAGCACTAATCAAGAATATATCCACTCAAAACCTGAATTTTATTTGAAAAAATTGTGTTTTAACATGTCGTTGAAAGGAATAACCCTTATTGCAGCCATCTTTGGTTCTGAATATTTGGGAATCATCTAATTCACTTTCTTGTTTGTTGCAAAAAAAGAGTAAAAAGAAAAAACAAACCATTTACTAGTGGTTTCCTCTTTGTGTCATATGTGATTTTGGGAGTGTCAAGAAAAAACAATGAATATACGAATTGCACTTAAACGTCTGGAATAAGCCACTTAATTGCAGGTTCGATTGCAGGTTCGAATCCCCCACCTGCAAGTCACCACTGAGGTACCCTAAGCAAGGTACCGTCCCCAAGCACTGCTCCCCGGGCGCTGAATTAGCTGCCCCCTGCTATGTCACAAAAGTCACATATGGGTCAAATGCAGAGGTCACATTTCGTTGTTGCGCACTGTGTGCTGTGGTGTGTTGACAATGACCACTGATCACTAAATTAAAAAATGTAAAAAAATTAATTAATTGCAGTTTTTTTTTAAATTTCGGGTATTGCTTAGTCATTCATGATTGGAGATTTTAATCAAATACATACGGACTTCATAAAGGTATTCTGCAAGTATTGAAGCTGAACACTAAAATTATGGTTGAAATTGTGAGATTAATATTAAATATATCAATTTAGTTGGTAAATAACATAAAATATCAACTAGAAAAAGAATAATTTTATAGGTTCCAAGCCACCACATGGCTAGAATCATCTATGTTTATGTGTTTGGTCGGTTTGTCTGTCAATCAAGAAACGCTTCGCCCAGTATGGCAGTCAGGAGTAATCGTGCTTCTAAATCTTTGTCGTTGGGGTCTTTGTCGGTCTTTGCCCGAACATGTTCCGAACCTGAACACGTGGGTAAAGCAGCGGAAGCCACTGATCAACGGGAGGAGAGCGGATTTTTTATAGGTTCACGGCGTGCGCTCCAGGTTTTTCTTGTGCAGGCAGTGTGTGTATAAGGTTTGAGCAAGGGAAGTGGGTGACAAAGATGAACAGCAATGTGATTTTCACCCCAGCAGAGAGAAGGTGCGCCCAGCTCATCCCAGCGTTGGCTGCCTGGACCGTAGAGCATGCCTGGCTTCACCGGATGGAGGGCATCTTTGACGGTACGACAACGAGAATTCATTAACTTTGTAACGTGGTGCATAGGACCTATATGGTTAGAAAGAGGTTGCGGTGGCGTCAGTCTGCCTAATAAGTTGGGTTGCCACCTCTACGCTGTAAAATTTCTGGACACCCTTAACCCTTCCACACTATGGCTGGTGCCGGTGTTATGCCGAAAAAGGCATCCCTGCCGTAGAATGCATGCCTGTCTCTAAATGACCGATTGATCGCTGATCTGAAACGAGTTGCGCTACTTTGTCGAGTAAGGCTACCGTAGTGCTAATCAATAGCCCCCAAAAACCCGTAAAACCCTAACCCTAACCCCCAAAACACCCCTAAAACCCTAACCCCAACCCCTAAAAAACCCCTGACCCCCAAAAAACCCTTAAAAGTTCAACTCGTCGGAACACCGGCATGCATTCTAAGGCAGGGATGCGTTTTTCGGCATAACACCTGTGTTCGTATGGCTATCATGTGCCCCTCTTCCTTCATATTGTACACTAAACCTAAAGGAACAAATCAAGCTTTTTGCTGAATACTAATCCTCGGGCACAAACGGCAACCATTCAGCATAAAGGTTATTCTGTTCCCATTTTTGGTCGTATGATTAATTTTCTTGCTGGATTTTTATTTTGTAGCCGGTCATTGTTCTCCTTGTCTCTCTCGTCACCCATTTTCTGTGTAAATTTAATTATTTTTTAACTTGAGGCGATGCTCCAATCATCACCGACTATGCAGCGCGTGTTCAGCACGGGCTTTGTTATGGAGTTGTTTGATTGGCTATACACGACATACATTCCTTGGCTAAACAGACACATGGTGCGTTCGTTTTTCTCTCGGAACTCGGAAATTCCGAGTTGAGTGACATCACGTCCGACAATCTCCCGTTCGAGCTACCCACATCTCGGAACAAACATGACTGCCTCCATGAACACGTTGCTGTGTATTGTTGCTTTATATTTTAGCAGATTTGGAGTTTTACAAATGAAGAAAATGG